ATTAACATAATTAAATACATAAACATCACACTTACAGAGCTAGTGATGTTTAAGCTGGGCTAGAAAGGCCCATTTACACGATACGACTAGTCGTATACGATTCTTATCTTGGCATATCGGTATGTACTCGAATAGTGTGTGAAAAGATGTCACATTTCAATTTTCGCCATAAACTGATGAACAGGATTAGTGGCGTAGCAGACGTTTTCGATAACGAATTGAAATGCTGTTTTCCATCGTTTCCATCTTGGTTCCATACATTCAAACGTCATTATCCCGCCTATTTTACATCGTACTTAATCGATTCTACACATCATTCATTAACATAATTAAATACATAAACATCACACTTACAGAGCTAGTGATGTTTAAGCTGGGCTAGAAAGGCCCATTTACACGATACGACTAGTCGTATACGATTCTTATCTTGGCATATCGGTATGTACTCGAATAGTGTGTGAAAAGATGTCACATTTCAATTTTCGCCATAAACTGATGAACAGGATTAGTGGCGTAGCAGACGTTTTCGATAACGAATTGAAATGCTGTTTTCCATCGTTTCCATCTTGGTTCCATACATTCAAACGTCATTATCCCGCCTATTTTACATCGTACTTAATCGATTCTACACATCATTCATTAACATAATTAAATACATAAACATCACACTTACAGAGCTAGTGATGTTTAAGCTGGGCTAGAAAGGCCCATTTACACGATACGACTAGTCGTATACGATTCTTATCTTGGCATATCGGTATGTACTCGAATAGTGTGTGAAAAGATGTCACATTTCAATTTTCGCCATAAACTGATGAACAGGATTAGTGGCGTAGCAGACGTTTTCATACGCCAGAATAACAATCGTATACGACTAGTCGTATCCTGTAAACAGGCAACTAGTCGTATCGTGTAAATAGACATTCAACTAGAGTTGTACAGTAAGAGGTGGAAATGATATCAGACTAATCTGAGCCAGAGGAGCAGTATCTCATTTTTTCAAACTGGGCACTACTCATCTTCCCTTCCGTTTACAGCTCATATCTGTCAAAGCATGCACATTTCAGTCATAAATAGTATTTACATCCCATATAATCATCAGCTTTTCACATTTAATGATATATTTCCCACCATCTTAATACGGCAGTTTTAACTATAGGATACTGTTTTGTTTTTAATATGTCGTCTAGCCTATGTGCATGCAGGCAACTAAAGTAAACTTTAAATATGGGGTTGGTTCATGATGCAGGTTATATTTGATTTTGCTACGCTTACACTATTTTTATTTGTGTATTTATTTTTCACGTGGCTAAATTGGTAACCTGCGAGCAGCGTCCTCTCGTTTTTTTTTCTCCCTACGAGAGCGGAGAGAAACGAGAGTGAGAAAAAAACGAGTCAGAGGACTCTGCTCGCAGGGTACTATATTGGTAGTTTTATTTAAAAGCAGCGTCTTTGGTTTACATATAATTATCCTATAACTCTCCCGATAAAAGCCCTTGTTTGAAATGTTGAGGCTGGCTGTTGTGAACTTCAAACAAATAACATACATGCTCATGTATATACAATGCACTCAAACGCAGTCCCACTTTATTATAATTTCACTCTGTCTAACACCAGATGATTTTACTCGTCAAAGGGAGAGTCTTGTCCACTAATGGGATAACCAAAATATCTGCCGATGTGTCTTGTTAACCTATTAAGCTGCAAAATGCCCAGATGCACCCACCTTTATTATTTTACCCTGTCTAAATGCCAGACGATTTCTTGATCTATCTCAGATTGTCAACAGCGCGTAAGAAGAGATTGTTTTCTGGCGGAAGAATGTATTTATGCTACTAAGCGGAGCTGCAAGAAAAGCGTTCGTTAAAGCGACTGACAGACTAATCAGTACCTGGAAGTGTGATTCTGCAAATTTCCTTAAAGGCAGTGATGATAATGCCAGCTCTTCTTCTTCTTCAGAAACCAAGTTTTAAATCAAAGTCGAAGGAACATACTATCTGTCTGAAGAGACGTTTATTTCTGTGCGAACTTGGTGATTTTGATGCACTCCATAGTGAATGCAAAACAATTCAATTAACGCTGTCTACATCGAGAAAGGGGATGTCACATGGGAAATTATCTAAGACCTTTGCAAGTCTTATGCTTCGAGGAAAAGTTAATGCAGCTCTACGTCTGCTGGATCAGCAATCTCCGGGTGGTGTACTACCTCTTACGGACAATGTATATGAAAAAGAAACATCCGACAGCAAACCAGTTGACACCTCTGTCATGATGAGTGGTGAGATACTTTTTGTTGATCCTGCCTTAATTGTTTAATTTGGGAACATTGACGAATCAACTATATCTGAGCAGCATTAAATACCAATGGTTCTGCTGGTCCTTCGTGGCCTAGATTGCTCTTGGTTGGCGGCATATTCTTGTTTCCCGAAACTGTGATGGTGTTGGAAAAGATCTCCGGTCACCCAAAAAGTAGATATCCAGGAAAATCATCCATCGAGCATTGAAGCCCATTTATCCTGCCGGTTAATTCCTCTCGATAATTAGAACAAAGGTGTCCGATCAATTGCACTTGGAGAAGTTCTGCGACGCATCATTGGAAAAGCTATCATTTTACGATCAAACCTCATAGGGGGGAAATATCGTTATTCATGATCCTCGTTTAGGCTACTACCCAAGAGCAGATAAATTCTGGTTGATAGTAAAACTAAACATTGAGCAAGAAGCGACGAGATCCGTGATCTGCTTGGAGCTGCCATTGACGAGGTTACATATGATGTATCGATGGAACCAGCCTTGGCTCCTCTTACTGGTGAAGTTATCCCGCCGAGCGCAAACACTGTTGATGACGCCAGGATCAACAAAGCTGCAAGGGGCTTCTGGCGAAGATGTGGAAAGGCATTCTTTGATGTCCGGGTTTTTAATCCTTACGCTTCAACACATCGATACCAAAGCCTCGCCAGTTCTTTCAACGCAAATGAAAGGGAAAAGAAGAGGAAGTACTATCAGCAAATTGTCGAGATCGAACATGGCTCATTCACATCTTAGTCTTAGCGTCTTTAGTGGATCCAGAAGGGAAACCCATATTTCCTTTCTTCTTTGAGCGAGAAGATAGCGACGAAGAAGAATTTGGCACCCTCGTTAGTTACGAACTGGCTGAGGAAAAAGATTGCGTTTGCCCTGCTTCGAGCGTAAAACGTTTGCATACGAGGCAGTCGGACATTAGAGAACTCTCCAGTCTCCACCACCTTGTACCACTGACATTGAATTTTCAGAATGGAACTCTACTATTGTTTTAATTTGAATTCTATATGTAAATTGTACAATTTTATGTAAACATTTTCTACCATTTTGTATAGCACGTTAACTTTTACACCTCTTTGTAAGGCTTTCTTTCAATAAATTTTCTTTAAACTAGTTTACCCACAGGGTAGTGAATGCTGCCTTGGTACAGCATTGTTCCCAAATCTTTAAATGAGATTTTTTGTATGTTACAAAGCACGCGTAGGAGTGTTTCATCACATGAGTTCATTGGTGAAGTAATTTTTAAAATAAACTTTGTCTAAACCGAGAAAATCAAAGCTAAAGTTTATGTAAATTAACATGATTTTTTATCACATATAAAACCACGACACGCTTATGATTTTTCTTTGTGTTTTCCTCTTGAATTATTAATGAGTTTTTGAAAAGTATGTTTAGTGCTTTATCTGTAAAATAATGCTAAAATGAAGAGATTTTAGATGATACGCCAAAGAGAAAATGATGTCTGAAGTTCAGTACGTTTTGCTTAAATGGCTGTAAATATAGCGTCAATTTTAAGGCATCATTGATAATTTAATTATTATTTTATGTTTCTCAACCGGCAGACGCATTTAAAAAGGTACCTATCTCTATAAACTGTAGAGAATAAAGCTAAAACAAAGTAATTTTGAGAGGAACGCCAAAAAGATTTTAGGTTTTGAACACTTTTCATTGCAAATACGTGACATTGAAAAAAAATTGCCTCTTAATATTTTAAAGAATAAGAGTAAGAAATATTCGTAATGAATTGGAATCATCCATAATTTATACACTTGAATGTGCCGTATGATAACTCGGCGCTCAGGTACGGAACAGCCGAAAAGGTACGATGGCTAACAATAATGAGTGTACTTATCAACTTATCTAACGCGAGGAAAAGATCAAAATGGCAGGTATGGCTGTGATATCTAGTATATAAAATTGTATAGACAATTTGCCCACAAATACGGTTCTAGGTCAAAACGGCCCAAAGTCAAAACGGCCCCGCTTCAATAATCATATGATTTAGACCAGGGGTTAAAGGGCAATGACAATGACATGCAGGTGACATTTAACATGTGCGAGTGTGCGTCTCACTAAATTTGCGTGTTTAATAATGTTTATCAACGAAGGCAAAAATATATACAAGACAACCTCACATGTGGCATCTGTTCACTTACGCACTGCGTTGTGATGCAGTACAAGTACAAGTACAAATACAAATGATAAAGCATTTTTAAAGGCTTTAAATCCTAAAACATAATTAAATCATACGGCACATTCAAGATTTTAATATCGTATTTCAGCCGCGTTTATACTGCTTGGCGCGCATTTGCTGCGTTATATTAATTTATATACCTATGTTATATACACATATTTATTACTAATAAATCAACAGTATATGATAATATATAAGAACTCACAAAGTGCAGTCACCTTTTTATAAATAAACCTTTTTAAAAGCATGTCATTGTCATTGCAGACCAGAGGCAAAAAGCACAGCCACATAGGCCTACTTAAGCAATCGTGAGATTATATACATGGAAAGAATATGGAAATTATGTTAAAAGCACCCCGTATAATGACGAAAGCACCGCGTATAATGCTCGAACCACTGCGTATAATGGCGAACGAACGCACCGCGTATAATGGCGAAAGCACCACGTATGCTCGAACCACTGCGTATCGACAAAATGCCATTTGATCACTTACGCGCTTTCCATAATAAAAGAAAACCAAAGATGAAAGATGATCACATTGCTTGTTTGCCTTATGCCTGTTTATTAGTCAAGAATAGCCTGCCGGAAGCAGTGCATTGTGGTAGGCCCAAATATGCCGAAACGATCGAGATTTCATCTGCCTTATATATATATATATATACATATACATAAAGATTAGGACTGCTGCCTCGCTCGCTTCACGCTCGCTCGCTACGGCAGCAATTATTTAAAAAATAAATAAGGCAATGAGTTCTTTACGAGTTAAGTTAGGCAGCTAGCCAGGCAATACATGGAAATATTATACCTCACAATGAGCTTGTCCAATCAGAGAACTAAATTTGTACCACATGACCATGGTATTTTTCAGCGAATACTATGACCTAGGCAATTTGAACCCTGGGTGTTTTACCCGGGGCCATGGTATGCGACTTCGAATACCACGCTTGAGCGGGAAATTCGACTTTTTTAAATGTAAAGTTATCAAAAGTTGTGTTTTGAAATTAAAAGTTAATTGAATGGTATTTGTTTTCTACTTATTTTTGAAAGGTTCGGTATAATATACCATTTATAGACCTTACATGTTGCAGAATCAAATTATTTTTCTCCTAACTATATTTCGTTAAGCACTTAATTGTCTTTAGTATATTGACCAGCTGTCAATGTAAATCCCCACTTCCAAATGGGAAATCAACCTTGTTCCCATGATCTTTCCTGGGCACATTGATTAAGACCCCTAGTAATTAAGTCATAAAAAAGAAAATATTCTGTTTCTGTCAGTGTGCAGGTCATCTTTACCTCTAATTTGGCAACTTATTATTATATAAATAATTTAATAGTTTGTTCTCATTTTGGTATATTAAACCTGCTGATTTGGTGACAGTTTTTAAATATTAAAAACTAAAGGCCTATCACCAGTTGGAATGGGCTTAGCTAAGGTGGAATACAAAAGGATATTTTCTAGTTATCTATCTTGGATTCCTTTACGACAAAGGGCCCACACTGATAGTATGACATGGCCCCCCGCAAAACGTTAATCTGGCCCTGGCCTCCTCTCCTCCCCAAAAATTCACCAGCATGTGCAAGCACCAGCAAGCACTGCTCTTTTCATATCCAACATTAATTCAACAGTTGCCGCCGCAATTCTGAAACTAGTTTTCGATCTACTAAAATTGAAATCTATTTAATCATGCTTACAATGCGAAGACCGAAAATTGATACTCTACCGTTGAGATTTACAGGGAATCAGCAAACAGCATGTAAATACCAAACAGATATTTCCCATAACACACAGCCAATCATGATCAATCCTTGCAAATGTTTACAAAATTCAAAAAATGAATTCTGTATACTTATTCGCACCCCACCTCCCCTATACATAAACCTTGGGAGGCGAGATTGGCAAGCTGCCTTGATATCAATTTTCAGTCTTTGTAGCATAAACATGAAGCAGATTTACATAGACCAAAAATTAGTTCCAGAATTGCAGCCGTTGAATTAACTACAATTATTTTTGGAATTATAAAGAGCAGTGCTTGTTGTATATGCTGGCGAATTTTTGTTGGAAGCAGTTTCAAGAGAATTTTCAAGTGTTTGTCTCAGCATTGAGAGTAGCAACCGCAAGCATCAAATTCTCGGACAATAGTAACTGAACAAAAGAGGAATGAAAGGAGAACACAAACTACCAGTTAGGCAAGTAAATTTTGTTTGAAGAAATGTGTATTATATAACATATTTTTTCTATAAAACTCTATTATACTGAAACAACACCCCAACATTGGGCCGCCTGTGATAAAGCCGGTTACAGACGAGTAAGTTTTAGCATGCTAGCTTTTGAACAAGTGCACTTGTCATAGAAAAAATTGTCAAAGTACAAATTTTGTTCGTCTGTATGGGTCAACAAAGAAAACTTGTCAAAGTAATCTGAGCATTTGATGTGATTGGCCATCGGACTATTATAATTTTTCTGTCATGGCGGCGATAAATACCTTTTTCTGACACGTTCACACCAGTAAATAAAACTTGTCATATGAAAACTTGTCATATAAAATTTGTTGCATATACACACGTGCACTTGGCAAATAAAATTTGTCACAGAAAAACTTGTCATAGAAAACTTGCTCGTCTGTAAACCGGCTTAATTTTATAATGCTGAGAGTACAAATACAGTAGCATTAAAAATTTAAAAGTTGATTTATGAACAAGAATACACGATATGTGGTTGTTGTAAATCAACACAGTATATGAGCATAGTATAACTTGTATCTTGAGCACACAAGATGCTTTAATGGTTTGATTTGAAGTATTTTGTAAAATATTATATTTTCAAAAGTTGTCGGCTGGAGATGAATCAACAGAAATACTGGCCGACATATTAAATTGGCATATGGACATCAGGACATGAAATCGTGGCAAAAACAAGATTTTTAGAAGATTTTGAAATAATACCTGTCAATAATCTCAAAATCTGACGTTTTAAGACTAGAAAAAGCGGAAACTTACCTCTTAATAAATTCCCGAGACTTTATATCGTTCGCCGAGACGCCGACTTCGAACACTTTTCCCGCCTCTCATGCCCACGAGGCCCACGACGCCAAAATATATTGCGTGTGTTCACGCGTGTCGAGGTTGTCACGCGTGCACTTTTTTGTGTTCTAGTCACCAGTCCTAGAAGCTAACAAAAATTTAAAACAAGTTGGAAAATGGTGGCTTATAAAACTGACAAATTGACAATGCTTTTTACTTAAATTAAAAGAACTGTACCAATGAGAAATTACCTAAAACTATGTCATGAAAAGCTCGTCAAACCATAACCATGTCAAGATCAAAAACAGAAGACCATTGTTTACAAACAATAAAAACAGTACTGAAAATGTTGACATCCAACATGATCAACATCAGTCACGTGTTGACGGTATCGTGCAACCTGAACGAAAGCGGTCAAAGATTGCTTACCCTATTCCCTCAAACTTCCATGGAAAGAATTCTTCAGAAGTAAAACCAACTAATGGCTTGTTTTCCAAGCCAATCAGCCAGTCAATGACCATAACAGCAAGTAAAAATGTCCAACAACAACCAACCTGTCTCGAAACAGAGGGCCCCAGGCCTGGGTTTGAAAAGGAAGCGATCGATTCTGATGGATCTCTCAATGTAAGAAGAAAAAGATCCAACAAACGAGCTCTTTCATCAGACCATGAAAAAACTAACTCTGACAGGAAAGATATCTTAGATGATGAATTGCTGTGGTTGCCAACTGTTAAGAATCATGATAATTGTAGTACAAGCAAAAGGAACAACAATATTGTAGATACATACGACATAGATACTGGTATGTCTAGTCAAGACTCATTTGCTGATCTCTTTGCCTCAACAACAAATACCCCTGTATGCACACCACAAAGCAGTGTTCCAAATTCAGAAGTGTTTTCATCACAAAGTGATTGTAATTTAAAATGTGGTGGCAACTTATTCTCAGACCTTTTTGATGACGATGATTCAAAATTGGCAGAATTAGATGTTAGTGGCATTATTTTATCATACAGTTCTTCATGTAAAGAGCTGGAAAGTCAGAAAACACAATCAGACACTTGCAGTGAGATGGAGATGGAAATAAATAAAACTAATAGTAATACTGCTTGTAAAACCTATAAATCATCACACACTGAAAAAGATCCAAAGGTAATAAATTCCTCAGATCAAAAAGCATTACAAAAAGTTAAAGCTAATGATAAAAATGTCAACACAAGTGTGTATAATCAAGGGTGCAATAATTCATCACATGCAGAAAAGGATCTAAAGACAATGAATATGTTAGATAAAAGATTACCGGTACAACCAGTAAACACTGATGTTAAAAATGTAGATACAAATAGGCAAAATCAGGCAGACATTTCATGCAAAAGTACTGGTAATATGAAGAATGAATTGAAGAATGAATGTCAAGCAAAAGATACAAGTGAAGAATTGTTTTATGGCTTGCCTCCAAAGGTGGGAAATCTGATTAAGAAACACAAAGGAATTGAAAAGTTATATGGTAAGTTTTAAGGGCAAATTTATATTTCATGGTTTTGGTCAGAACTATCTGAAAAGGATTTTGGAGCCAACACGTACGTTAGGCTTGGATGCAGGCCTTGAATTTCCCTGAAATCAATCGACGGCAATGGCGTTAAAAATTGCCGTAGAACGTAACAGCTGTCTACGGCAATTTTGGCAGTTTCCACGGCATTTTTCAAATTACTGTAATAAAACTTTAATTTTATTGTTACTTTGGATTTTTGACAAGCTAGAAACATGTCTATGTAATTTCTTTAGTGTTTTTTTTTTCGAAGAAAACTGAGACTAAAATAGTGATTTACGCATGATTTGATCAACATCTGAATTCAAGTATCAAAGTAGTAATGCACAAACTACACGGCAAAAATTTGCCGTCGTTGCCGCAATGATCCACGGCATTTTGTTCTCCCTCTACGGCAATTGCCGTGATAAAATTCGAGCCCTGCTTGGATGGTTTACCGGTTTTTCGGTTTTATTTTCAAACCGGTTTTTTCGGTTTAGCTTTTACAAAAACCGGAAAACCGTCATTACGTATTTGTTTACTGTCATTGCCTGAAACTCGATCTTAATTCTCAAAACATGACGCTAATTAAATTCAATTACATGACACTAGATACAAATTCTATTCTTTTTTCGTAAAGTCGGTAAGAACTAAAGAGGTATAAGTTTTCAAATGCGTTCTTGACCCTTTTATTTTAAAACTGAAGTCGTTTTAGGTTACCTTTGCACAATTTTGCGTTTTGGCGTGTACTGTTCGTTTGCTTATGTCAAAAAAATACCACAATTCCTCCTCATTCAGTTGAAGTAAAAATTAAAGGGAAAAAAACTGGTTTTACCGGTTTAGAAGCAGATGGTTTTTCGGTTTTAATTTTAAGCAAAACCGCCCAAGCCTAACATACGTACCCTACATTAGGGATAAGCTGATCACAAAAAAGTGCCAATTACCTGATTCAATTAATCGGTGGCCGATAATACCAAATAATCGGCTGATTAATTAGCCAAAGCCAATAGATGATTCCACCTATCAAAATTTACTATTATTTCCATTTACACATTTACCATTATGTGTCAGTTGTTTTGATGAACATGAGAAACCTTTGAGTGTTAAAATTACACTTAAAAAGCTAGTGTACCAAAGCACTCGGCCACAGTATCTCTGGCATTCATTCATGGCAGTCTTCTCTTCCTTCCTGCTTCTAAAGATTATTACCAATTATTAAGAAAGCCTTCGCAAGAAATATGAAAATATTTTGGGCGCAAAGCTTTATTCAAAGTTGCACTGTTGTGAGGGGTGAAAAATGCAAAGTCTGCCATGGCGTGAATATAAATTTGAACCTTTTGGAAAAATTACACTTCAACCTTATTAAACTCTTTAAAACATGCTGTGTCTATTGCTGCAGATCCCGTTATAAGAATGGAAGTCCATTTAAGGTACAAGAATGTCAAGTTCAGACCTGCCAAGCTCGGACTTCAGATAAGACTGTGACATCTCACAGTTTGGCTTCTCTAACGGTATTGCTAATAACAATATGTAAGATTTGACCAAGGCTCCTCCAATTGTCCATGTACTCATACATAGGTGAAATTGGGCAAAGTGCTGAAGTGCTGTAAAGCACAATTTTTTACTGAAGAATTAAGATATGTGACTTTATTTATTATTGTGTAATGTGGAATTGAGTGACTTGATGGCAATTTTCGGCATGCATGCGGATCTGTGGAACCAAAATTTAAAAGTGTGGCTTTCAGGCCAAATGCGTGGCATGTGGCAGCTCTGATATTGGCATATCCAGTGGCAGAAATCTTGGTGGGGCGGCAGGGTGACCGCCCCCCACCTTCCGGAAAATTGGCAAATTTTCGGAAATTTTGATCTAAAAGAGGGCTAAAAACAGTCTTTTCGAGTGCAAATGGAGGGGGGGGGGGGGCATGTCGTAAATTTGAAAGTTTTGTCGGAAATTTAGGGGGCTTTGCCCCCCCCCCCC